TGCAGTAGCTTCACAGCTGTAAAAGGAAAGTATGAATTCAACAGTGCACAAAAAACCTCTGGAGCATGGATTAAAAGTGATAAGGAAATCTTTAACATCAATCATGGAGTTAATAGCGATCAGATAAAAATAACTGGAGACCTGAGTAGGAAAAACTGCACCACTTTGTTCTCTGATATAAAGACAAGTCAAGCAGGTGAATACTACTTCAGAATAGAGAATGGAAACTACAAGTCAACAGCTTGTTCTAAAGCTCTTCATATAAAAGTCCAAGGTAAGAATTTTACTTTACACAACTCTACCAAATAAGAAAAATACATCAGTTTCAACTCATTTTATAGTAACATTTTCTCGACAAAAAAAATTCAAATGATAAATAGCAAGAATGTTTAACTATGAAGAAATAAGCTCTTGTTGTTCACTTTACATGTTTATGATGATCTTTGATATTTATGTCATATTTTCCTTTACTTAGAAATCCCATAGCTAAATAAAAAAAATAAGAACACCAACATTCCTCTTTGTATAAGATATATAAGATATGGAACATTTCATTGTTTTATATATGTATATGAATCATTACTCATCTTTTTTCTGGGTTCAGAGCAATTTGAATTTATTTTTTAATCATGTTAAATCACCCTATTGTACTGTAATTGTTTGGGCTGGGATAAATATTTAGTTGGATTTTATAGCTGCCCTCAATAAACACAGACCTTAGTTTCTATCTGCTTCATAGATGACTGTTTAACAACCGAATAATAAATTTTTTGTATATATTTGAGTTTGCAGTTTGCACATAAACTGCTAAAAATGAACTGTCTTGGTGTCCTCTTTATAATGATAATTACAAATATTATTTTGTTATTTTGTTTTATGGTTTAAAACATTGGTGAAAAAGGTACTCAGAAACCCTACTTAAGTACAAGTACAAATAAACAAATAAATACTCTAGTAACAATAACACACTGACATTGTACTAAGATAAAAGTAACAAAGTATTTGCTTTTAAAAATACTTGAAGTATTAAAAGTACTTACTAAATTAACTGCAAATATGTTTCACAAAGATGATTAAGTGTAACTACTATATGTACATTTTCATGAATACGTCAATAATGTTATTTTAATGAACAATGAATGCTGAGAATAATGCATGTTTTGTTTTTTCCTTCTGTCAAAATTCTCACTTGGGACTAATAATTTTGGATTGATCTGCTAAGTGAAATATCAAGTGCAAGAAAGATGATAAATTGCACCTTTTAAAGTGAAGTTAGATTAGCAGATTTCTACAGAAACTGATCTTTCCAATTGTAGTTTTTAACTCCAGTTTAATCATGAACTTCATGATTTAAAAATACTGTACAACTCTGAGAACGTCTTGCATCATTCAAAAATGTAAAAAATTGAAGGACACGAAACCTCAAGGGCAGAGTTCTCCTTCTCTGGTTTTAGGTTCCTTCCTTTCTGTGGCAATAGCAGTGAGAGCAACATATTGCTGAAGATGAGTGATGTGCTTTGAAAAAGATTTAGTGCGTTTTAATCAGAATTAAACAAATTGGACAAGACTATACAGAATCAAATGAAAAATTCACATATGGTAATTAACTAATCTATCAGTTTCTTTCTTTGCTAAGAATATCTGACTCAACACATGATCAATATGATTTCATTGGCCAGATGAATGTGCATCTGCTTAGTCTGACTTTATTTGCTGTGTATAGCAAGCAATCAAAGAAGCTGATCAGGACTATTATCTAGCGTAACATCATGGATTCATAGTGCAAACTGGCAAAGGAGAAACGTTAAAAAAAAGTTATTATGATGTATGGATTAAATGCATATTCAGGATTATATACGATATTGCTTTATATCTTTTTTTATATTCCAGGGCAGTACATATCACAGCTTTGCAGATGTGTGATTTATTTGAAATAAGGGACCCTGAAAGAGTTGCTTCCTCCATTAGTCCAGGCAGGTGTTGCTGGAGGCAGGTGTTGCTGGAGGCATCTGTGCAGCGCCCCCACTAAAAAATAGCATGGTGCTTCTCCAGTAACAAAGGGAAAACAATGCTAGATTTGTTGTGTGTTCCTTTTTTTTTAAAGAAGCTAAAGAGGTCTGTCTGTGGTTTGATATAGTGACTTCGCTCAGTGTTCACCAACACTGATAAGCATCAAAGCAAACATAGATGAAGAACCCGACCGTTATGCATGTTAATCATGTTCACTTCTCGGTATTAGCAGTTTTGTAAAAGATAGCTAAGCTTTCAGTTATGTCTTTAACATGCAAAAACATAGCATTTAGCAATTTACCAAAATGTTTTTTTTTTATTTGAGTTTTTGAAAGCTAGAAAATTGTGCCCTCAGGGGACACAAAGTGGCACTGGTATCTCCAGGAGTCATTTTTTGAGCTGTACTGGATGCTCGTTGCCATGGAATGGGGCTCAGTAATGATCATATGGCAGTTCTTGGGGGGAGGCGGGTCCAATATTACTTGTCCGCCTTGCAGTTGTTGAGATGACCAATCCCATCTAGCATTTGATTACTTTCAAACTCTCCAACAAAACTAAACAAATAAATGTAAAACACAATGTAACACAAAGCATTAGAATGTGGAATGGAATTAAAATAATGTAAATTGTAGTGGGTGGAAAAGTATAAAGTATCATGGTTAAATCTACTTAAGTACAGTAACAAAGTACTTGTACTTCGTTACATCACTGGTTTAAAATGTCTGTCTGATCTAAACTTCCAGATTCCCCTTGGAGTCCCAGCATTAATATCCCTGTTGGTGATCTGAAGGAGCATCAGTCTGTCACTATAAGCTGCTCAGCTTTGACTCCCTGTCCACACTCACCTCCTGAACTCACCTGGAATCTCCCACAAGACTCTGAGAGACAAACAGAGAAAAACCCAGATAGAACCTTTACAACTAAAATCCAGGAGACCATCACTCTGTCAGACACACATGATGGATACAACATCAGCTGTTCTGCCAGATATCCTGTGAATGGAGGAAGCAAGACAGCAGAGACAGAAGTGACTCTCAGTGTTTCATGATAGTGATCCTGTCAGCACGTCATGGTTCAGCTGTTTCTGATCAATAAAGTTAATGTGTGTCCCATTTTCCTCAGATGCTCCTAAAGACACCTCAGCATCCATCAGTCCATCAGGTTTGGTGTCAGCAGGTAGCTGGGTGGAGCTGAGCTGCTGCAGCAGAGCCAAGCCTCCTGCCAGCTTCACCTGGTTCAGGAACAGCAAACATGGAGCCGTTAATGTATCTGTGGGGCAGGTTTACAGATTAAATGTTACTGAGGAAGGAGAGTATTACTGTGAGGCTACAAATGATCTGGGGACTCAGAGATCGTCAGTCATCCTTCTCAGTTTTGGAGGTAACAAATTCTTAGTTCTAAGAACACAAAACATGTTTTCTTAAACAAACATAAACGAAAGTAGGATGACATACTGCTTTGTAAACATAAATTTAATTTAAATGAATTGTAAAAACATTAATTACGTTCACAATTAATGACAGTTATATTGCCTTTTGTAAACTATAATAGTTAAAGGTTAAATAGTTAAATGAGCTCACTATAAAGTCTACTATATAGCCCCCACTCTAGTGATTGAGGGGGTTAGAGTGGACTTTCGGACACAACCTTAGTCTACCAGAAAACTCCTGGATTAGGTTTTCTGATTGCTGCAAAAGTTCAGAACTCCAGTGTCAAACTTTGTGATGTCCCAATTCTGGGATACCAGGATGCTCCGACACTCTGATACGTGGCTTCTGATGTCTGGATGCGCCACAGGCAGGCTTAGACTGGTAATCTGTGATACCAGGCATTTGCCCCGTGGGCTGGTCCTACTTTCAGCGTGCGAGGGGCGGCCCTCCTTAAATCATACTGGCCCCAACACTAACGCTCCTAAATGATGCATGCAATATATATGTGTATATATATATATATATATATATATATATATATATATATATATATATATATATATATATATTCTAACTGTAAAATACGAGAAACAAACTAAATTATAATAAAACTAAAATGCTTTCTTTAAACCAAACTGCGATGTTTCTCTTATATTTGGTGAATTTATGTTCAACTAATTTGCAAAAATATTTTGCGTTGCATACTACTATTGGTTTTGCATCTAAAGGCTAACGTTTTGCGTCTTACATGCATTGTTGCCAGGTTAGATGTTTCCCAATCTGGCAGTTTAGGATGGCCGTCTATGGGTAAAAAAATCTTTTCTTTAGGTTTATGGCCTAATAGAGAGTTTGGTTCAAATTGGGCGAGATTTCGTACATCCAGGGGGTTTATGATCATTCTTTTGGCTGGAAAACGTGAGTCAGTGACTTCTGGCAACCCTACTGATGTGGTGGGTGTGGACGTTATGCAGCAGCAGTCACTGTCGTGTCCGTATTAATGATAAGGGGGCCGGTCTAGATGGAAAATTGTCAGGGCCGAAAATCGTTCAGAGTGAAATGAACCCTTTTATCAGCCTAGTTCATAAATGTCAAAATCAAGGCAATAATCCAACAAACTGTTATTCATTGACCATGAATAGGCAATTTGAGCTGTTAAATACAACTAACATCTTTATAGCTTATTATAGCTTATTATCATATAACTGTTAACACCATGATCCACAGTTCCCACATTGCTTATTGGGTTATGCCTTGAACAAATACATGTTTTTATATTTTATCATCATTCCGAGCTTTAATATGAGCATAATTAATTAAAATCAGAAACAAAATAGGGATGCAACAGTTTTTGTGACTGATGTAGCCTGTTCCCTAATAGAACAGCATGGTTTTGTTGACATGACTCAATGGTTTGCAAGGTTGCCTGGTTGCCTGTTTCACATACTGGCTAATTGGGGACGTCTGATTCATTTCTGCTTATCCAGGCTTATGAATTATTCCATCATAATAAAAAGCTTTGGTATTTTTTCATTTTAGTCAAACTCAATGTTTCATGTTAAACATATGTTTTTATCAAGGGTCTGGATTTAGTCTCTGCATTACAATGAAGATCCTGGTATTGGTAATGCTCTGCTGTGCAAACATCATCCTTGAGTGGTGAGGCAATCATTTTATATGTTGATACTTTCCATATCCACTTCTGTTACAATGTGCTGTTAAATATTTAGTAACCTTTATCTCCTCTCTTTCATTTTAGCTGGGTATGGTTCTCAATTAAATTGTCAAAGGTAAGCAAAAATAATTAACCCTGAAATTATCCATACAAATGCTAGATTAAATTACTTGATGTACTTGATTTTGGAAATGTTTTGAATGTTGTGAACAGCTTCAGGTCCTGTTTAGAATGCTATGGGTGAAGTGGAATTAGAACATGTATTATGATGATGCTTGTTTCTCAAATTAACAGTATATGTTTAGAAAATAACTTAGTAGATTTTACACTCACGTTTTATGTCACCCTCCTGTCTGTATTAGAAATGCTGGTTTGTACTGGTCTGACATGATATTCAAATTTTTAACTACCCAAAAAAAATTAAAGGAACACTTTGTAATCAGAGTATAGCATCAAGTTAATAACATTTCTGGGATATTGATTTGGTCAGGTAAGTAGCAGAGGGGGTTGTTCATCAGTTTTAGCTGCTTTGGCATTAATTAAATTAACAACAGGTGCACTAGAGGGGCAACAACAAGATGACCATCAAAACAGGAATGGTTTTACAGGTGCAGGCAACTGACATTTTTACCCCCTCCTCATCTTTTCTGACTCTTTTTCACCAGTTTTGCATTTGGCTAGGGTCACTGTCACTACTGTTAGCATGAGGCACTACCTGGACCCTACAGAGGTTGCACAGGCAGTCCAACTTCTCCGGGATGGCACATCAATACGTCCCATTGCCAGAAGGTTTGCTTTGTCTCCTAGCACAATCTCAAGAGCATGGAGGAGATTCCAGGACACAGGCAGTTACTCCAGAAGAGCTGAACAGGGCTGTAGAACGTCTACAACCAGTCCGTGGCCCGGTGGTTGGGGACCCCTGCTCTAGAGGGCCCTGTGCTCACTGCCCGGCACCTTGGAGCTTGATTGGCATTTGCCACAGAACACCAGAATTGGCAAGTCCGCCACTGGTGCCCTGTGCTTTCCACAGAAGAACACTATGCTGCCTGTAACATCGTCCAGCATGACCGGTTTTGTGTTGGGTCAGTGATGGTCTGGGAAGGCATATCCATGGAGGGAGGCCCAGACCTATACATGCTAGACAACGGCACCCTGACTGCCATTAGGTATCGGTATGAAATCCTTGCACCCATTGTCAGACCCTATGCTGGTGCGGTGGGTCCTGGGTTCCTCCTGGTGTACGACAATGCCCGGCCTCATGTGGTGAAAGTATGCAGGAGTTCCTGGAGGACGAAGGAATTGATACCATTGATTGGCCGCCACACTCGCCTGACCTAAATTCAATGGAACACCTCTTGGGACATTATGTTTCAATCCATCCGACACCGTCACGTTGCACCTCAGACTGTCCAGGAGCTCAGTGATGCCCTGGTCCAGATCTGGGAGGAAATACCCCGAGACGCCATCCGTTGTCTCATTAGGAGCATCCCCTGACATTGTCAGGCATGCATACAGGCACGGGTGTGCATGCCTTACCGAATACCATTTTGAGTTGCTGCAATGATATTTCAGCAAAATGGACCAGCCTGACAATTTTTTCACTGTTATTTTTGGGATGTCTTTGAATTCGGCATTCTGTAAGTTGATAATTTTCATTTCCATCAAATGATGTGGCATTCTTTTGTTCCTAACACATCACCCAATCCATATCAGTATAAATAAACAACATGATTTTTTGCCCCATTCAGATCTGATGTGTTCCTTTAATTTTTTTGAGCAGTGTGTATATATATATATATATATATATATATATATATATATATATATATATATATATATATATATATATATATATATATATTGATATATACATAAGTTATGTAGAGCAGTAAAACCTTTCTATTTTTGCTCATGTAAGCAGAACCCAGAAGATGTTAACACAGAGTGATGGAGGTTCAGTCACCATGAGCCACGGAGAGAAGATTGCAAGATACCCCGGAAAGGATTTCTTTTTTCTCTTTTCTTTTCGATTTTCTTTTTGATTTCCCACTATAAAGTTATAATTTTCTTTAGGTATTTGTAGTCTTGAATTTTACTTAGTCATCAATGCATGTAAATATTCCAAGTAAATATTGTTTAAAAGAATTACTAAAAAACATTGTATAAACAGTTGATTTTATTTTATTATTATTATTATTATATTAGCAGCTGTCAGTTAATCCAGAAGAAGTTATCAAACTAATTAGCTGTTTTCTTCCTGTGAGCTAACTTTGAGAATCCATTGAGCACCAAAATGGTGCATCATCATTGGACATAACTACAGTCCCATGTATTCTACAGAACTAGGTGTTTAAATAGACTTTTAAGACATTTGTACCTGACCTTCATATGCAGTATTTCATTTAAGAGGGAAACAGATCTGGCTGTTCACGAAAAGCAGACCTTTTTATCAGGATTGCATGCAGAGAATTTCACTAGCTTGCCGTTTTTGTTCATTTAAACATCTTTAATGTATAACACAATACTCTTCAACATTACTAGACACCATTTTAACATGATAATTGATTCTGGGATTACTTCTCTTTTAGTAAATGCTTTTTTACATGTGAAAAGTGCAGTGTTTTTTACTCACAGAGATACAATTTTGTAATAATAATGAGAAAAGAAAAACTTTTTAAGTGTCTTTTAACCTGCAGCATTTAATTTGATGTGGAATTAGAAAACACAAAGCTTTTTAATTTGACACAAAATATAAACATTCATAATGTAAACATTCAAATAAAATACATATCTTGAAAAACTTGTATAGTTATGTTTTTAATAAATGTCCCCTTCGGAAGCAGACTGAGTTTGACAAAGAAGCAGTTTAAAATTAAACAGAGTTGTTCATGTCCTGAGACAAAAACAGAATATAATGACATAGAAAAAAAGAATTTGGTAATTTTATCTTGTCATTATTGATATTTCTGTGTCAAGTCTCTTCATCAGGTAAACCATTATTTTGTTTCTGTCTGGTTGTTATTTGTAGGAAACTTTTCCCTCAACAACTTCCAAAAGCTTTAATTTTTAATAAATTTCACCATCTTCTATGTCTTAACATTAACTATCTTGTTAAACTGGCATTAAAAAGCAATGAGTCCTTAGGAGACCAAGCTTATCATGAGCTCAAGATGAAACAGGAATCTTAGGGGCTCAGTAAATGGGGGCAATAGTAGGAAATAAACAATAGTCAAGTGGGTAGAGAGCATAGCTTTTGCAGATACCGGAAAACTCAGACTCTCTTTATGGATTCATGAGCAAGACCCTTAACACCAGGGTACTCCCCTTAAACAAACAAGTTAAGAAGTTCACTGTCCATGAGGCCGTAGTTCACAAACTGTTGGGATCCAGAGGTTTGTCAACTTTTCTCCACCAGAGGGAGCCTGAGACCTTTCTGAGACCTGGAGCGTTACCTGTCTGCCCTCCACCGCCGCCTCTGACCTCAGCTATGGCGTTACATTTATGTCATACTCAGCCCTCAACCTGCCGACCGGCCTCTAGACCCTCAAGGTATTTTAAATGTCGTAAACATTGTAGAAAAGCCATCATGCCAAGGAAATACACCAGGAAGACAACCTGGGGCAAAACACCCCTTGAGGAGATGGATAGTGCAGCCGCTGAGGTCAAGGAAGGAAAGAAGTCTCTAAGAGCAGCTGCAAGGGACAGAAATATTGACAAGTCAAGCCTTTTAAGATTCATAAAGAAAAAAGAGAAAGGGGAAGTAAAATAGGTAGCCTGGGGTGCAGTAGCTGAGGCAAAGAGAATTATTACAGATGAGATGGAGGAGGAGCTTGCCAAACACTTGAAACAACTAGCTGAACAGTTCCATAGCCTTCCTCTAGTTAAATCCACTAGTTAGTTAAGCCTTTGAATATGCAGAAAGAAACAATATCCCTGTCCCTGACAATTGGACAAAGACAGAATGTGCAGGTAGGCTAGAGTGTGCAAGAGATCACATGATTCTGTAGGTCAATTAAGGCCAACTGATCTTGGCACATAGCTAAATCTTATAATAAAGAATTGTCTACTCTAGGTAAAGATTGGTTTCGCAGCTTCCTAGCATGTCGCCATCTCTCTATCTGAACTCCAGTGGCAACATCCCTGGGAAGAGCTACAGCCTTCAATAAAACTACAGCCGACTGCTGGCTCCAAACCAGCACCGTTTCTTTTTTTTGGATCCTGCACTTCTACAACTTCTAATCGTAGATTCTAAATTATCTCTAATTTATTTTGACCTTTTCCCATTTTAAAGAATTTAGTCCAGTACAAACACCTAGGGTATTCTACGCACTGGATTTTTATTCAGCAGGACAGCACCCAAACACTGTTATGGTAATTTCTGCTTCTACCTTTTTAGGTGAGAAATTCTTGCCTCTGCATCCACAAGAGTTATACAGTATTAATTCCTGCTGTTTTAGTATGAAACAACAGAACCCAACGGTTCGAATGTTTCCTCACACACTTTCACACAGTCACACACACCTATTCTAAGGCCTAATTTTTTTATTTTTATTTTAACCAACATAGACAAAAAACATTTATCGTGTACACTTTGGAGTCTCCAGCTCCAGGCCCTCGCACGCACCGGATACCCACATCCCAGATCTGTCAACAAAACTTGGCTTCGTCAAATATCCCTGCTGCAGCTGAAAACCTTACTTAGCTGTGTTCTTATCTTAAAAGAACATAGAGGGTCCCAGACCTAAACGCACAGAATACCGATCCCAGGTCTATCACAACAAAACCCTGTTTGACAAAAATTCTTGCGACTACAACCAGTTATAGCTTGAACACAGAGGGTCCCAGACCCAAACGCACAAAATACCGATCCCAGATCTATCACAACAAAACCCTGTTTGTCAAATATTCTAGTGACTAAAACCAGTTATAGCTTGAACACAGAGGGTCCCAGACCCAAACACACAGAATACCGATCCCAGATCTATCACAACAAAACCCTGTTTGTCAAATATTCTTGCGACTACAACCAGTTATAGCTTTAACACAGAGGGTCCCATACCAAACGCACAGAATACCGATCCCAGATCTATCACAACAAAACCCTGTTTGTCAAATATTCTTGCAACTACAACCAGTTATAGCTTTCACATGGTCCCAGACCAACTTTTGATAAAAAGCTTTAGGCTTACCCTTTGTCGTGTAGATCAGTCCTCAGCTTGAGTCGTCACCAGGATGGACCAACATATTGGCCTCGTCCAGCAAGGGAAGACGGCTGTCGACAGTTTCTTGGCCTTGGTCCCGCACGGTCCTGGACAATTGGATCTTGACTCCCGGGTTTCGGCACCAAAAATGTTATCTGATTAAGAGGACGAAATGATCAAACACAGACAGGGATTTTGTCAACCTCTGCACAGGGAAGAAAGACTGCTGGCTCCAAACCAGCACCGTTTCTCTCAGATCCCTTCACAGCAAAGCCTTTTATTAACAGTTTACAACATAATAGGGTGGGCCTTAAACAGAAGACCCAGCAATGATTATCTGGCAGGATGCAGGTCAAAAGATAGTGTAAAATGACCATCTGGCTGGATGGAAGTCGCACAACCCTGTGACTCTGCCTCATGACCTACTGGATGCAGGTCATAAAAGTTTATGACCCTTCTGATTGAATCAAAGGATAGAAATGTAGCATCTTCTTTCTTTCAATGTTTCATATGTCCACACGATAATTTTGTAATTATCACTCTAACACTGGTTGCACATGCCATTGATTCTAAACTTTCTATTTGATCAGGTTGTGACAGAGACAGGAAAAAAGCAAGTTGGTTCTGTCACATCGGCTGAGAGAGGAGAACTGGTGACTGTGGTGTGTGCAGTGAATGCTGCTGCCATAACTCCCATGTTTGTCTTCCCCAGAGTCAAGTTTAAGGATTGCTTCATGACAGGAGCACCTCCAGGAGCCAAAGGTACCACCACCAGAATGGGGTGGATGAATGAAGACATCTGGCCTGAGTTCCTTGATCACCTGATACAGCACACTAACTGCACCCCTGATCGTCCCATGTTGCTAATCCTGGATAATCTAAAAGCTTACATCTCACTCAAGGCAATAGAAATGTCTAAGAGCAACGAAATTGTGATGATCTGGATGGTCCACCCCCTGCAGATGATCTTGATGGTTTACCCCCTGCAGATGATCCACCTGCAGACAAACCACCAGCTGCAGATAATTCACCCGCTGATGCTTACCCATCCACTGCGCATGGTCCACATGGATGTGCCTCGCCAGCTGATTCAGATGTGCCACGTGTTCCCAGCCGAACTGGATATGTGTCTCCTCGTGAAATACTACCACTTCCCAAATTTCCACCTAGAACACAAACCAAAGAAAGCATTTGAAGACAGCCATCATAACTGATACTCCTGAGAAGCAGGCAATTGAAGAGGCTTATAAAGAAAGACAAAAGAAACTGGCAGGGAAAAAGCAAAATAGCAAAGAAAACGGAAAACCGAAAAAGAAAGCAACCAAAAGGAAAATCGTAGTTAGCAGCTATGAGGAGAGTGATGTCCCTGTCCCATTTGATAATGAAGAAGAGAGCTCTAAGGATGGAAGCAGTAATCCAGGAAACAAAGATCTGTCTGTGGGTGACTTTGTCATGATTAACTTTACAACCAAACACAGGAACCTTCGGTATATTGGCATGGTTTAAAAAATGTTGAAGATGATGAAATTCTTATCCAATTCCTTAGAAAAATTCAGGGAAACACAAAAGTGTGGGAGAGACCCACATTTGCTATTAAAGAAAAAGATGTGGCACATGTTCCCAAAGCAGATGTGGTGAAGAAGCTGCCTCAACCTAAGAGGCGTGGAGGGACCACACGTAGAGAACAACTCTTCATCTTTCCCTGCAATCTTCAGGGCTGGAATGTGGAGTAGTTGTAGAGGCCTACTGTATTTGCACAGAATGACTGATGCTCTGATTGTGTATTTAGTCCTGTTGAGTCCCAGGCTGTTCTAGCTTGCTCTAAAGGTCCTGTGTTCTGACCCCAAGTCTGTGTTTTTATATTAAGACTTGTATATACATATGAAAAAAAGGATATTTTGTAGTGTAGGAGTTGAGTTGCAGCAAGGTGATTCATACCTCTCATTTAAATGTTAATAAAACATTTTGAATTACATTATGTTGTATTTGATTTTGTTTAGAAACACTTTCAAGTGTTGTAGGAAAAAATGTGCTAAATAGTCTGACATTTGTTCTGGGATGTGACGTTGTCAGGCCAGCTGTCAGGATTCTAACCTGTTACAACATATGTTGTTATGGTAGTTTCAGAGTGGAAAAAGTAAGTGGATCAGTTTACCCCTAGTTGGTTCACTTTACCCCGTTGGCTGGGGTAAAGTGAGCCACAAGACCACTTTTTTTAAAAACATATTTTCACTGCCCTTCATCCTGAACACATTCTGATAATTACAATAGAAAGGAAACATCCTGAATTAATGGGAAATGTGTAAATTTAACTGATATATAATTTTAGCTCAGTTGGAGGGGAGCAAATTTAAAAGACGTCTCACTTTACCTCACTCTCCCCTACAGTGTTTTTTTTTTTTTTGTTGTTGCTTATTTTTCGGAATAATCAATTATTGTAACTTACATCTGTGCTGGCAAGCAACCTCTCCAAGGATGGATGGATGGATGGAAGGAACCAACATAAACTAGATGTCACATGTTCTTTTATATGTTTGTTGGAGCTTTTAGACTGCTGTAGCTTCTATTCCTCTTTTGTCTCCATCACAAGCATTACATTTGTGAATATATTTTTTGTGGCATAAACTATGTGATTTTATTCTTCATTTTTTTGTCATAAAGGCTTTTGACAAAGACTATCTCATCAGCTTAAATGGATTATGCTGCATATGGTGGAAATAGAAACTTAATTTTTGGCACAAAATAAAACAGTGCCATTATAAAAATCTAAACAAGACTTGTTACTGTGAAATAGAAAACATATTTTTGAAGGACAGTTAACTCTCTCACAAGGAGTCATTGTGACAATATTGTTAGGTCCACCAGGCTCCACACAAGGATTTTCATTAAAGTGAAAATTTTATTTATTAGATGATACTAAAGAAACAATACCTGAATAATGGATAAATAAAATGGGGAATAGAAGATGGCTTAATGCAAAACCAATAACTAAACAGAAAAATAAGCAAATGCAAACAAACCTAACCAAACCCAACCATAGAATACAAACCAAACCAAACAGGGTTCTGAGGAGGTAAGAGGGAGAAGCTTCCTGTCTGCTGCCTGCATGACAGCTTTTAAAGCAGACGAGCACCAATTAGGGCAAAACAGAACACCTGCAGAAGGCCTGCATCCAGAACCCTGCAAAGAAAAGTGCAGAAACCCACTGCAGCCGTAACAATATCTATAAGAAATTTAGTTCCAAGATCATTTAACTATCGAACAATGCAGCAGTTTTTTATAAAGTGGTGCTTTGGGTCTGAAATTAGATTTCCTTCCAACCTGAGCTCAACTTATCACCATGTCTTACAGAGAATGGTGAGTTTTACACATTGCAGAAATGTCCTCAATGGATCCTTGTTAAAATGGAATCTTCGATTAATTAGCACTGACATTTGAATCTTGATCTGCCAGCACTAAAAACACCAGGTTTGCTAAACAAATCATTGTTTTTTAAAGATTATATTTAGGTTCTAGTGGCCTTTATTTTTTTTTGTCACTTTTTGACAGTAGACAGACAGAAAATGTAGCGAGAGAGGAGGTAAGAACATCTAGCAAAGGTCACCAAGCCAAGACTTGAACCTGTTATGGCTGCATCGAGGACCACAGCCTCTGAACATGTGTCACACACTGAACCATTGCACCTTCGAATTTTTAGACAAGTATTTTAAGGTAGAACATTTATAAGAGAGAACATTGTGTAGAGTCCTTCATCTTTTCAATGCTGCGCTCTTGAACAGCCTTGGTGTGCTTCTCATCCACATCTTCCTTTAACCTTTCCTGCTCTTTAGAAATGCTGCTGTCTTCTTTTAGTTTATCCATGTTCGACTGCAGCTGAGTCTTCTGGAACACAATTGAGATGATAATAAACTGATAAACTATTCAGAAAGACCTGATCTTGCTTTTATCAGAAAGAAAAAAATTAAGGTCAGACTTCCTCCCTCAAGGCTGCACGGTGGACAGTGGGTAGCACTGTTGTGTTGGATTCTCTGCCCTTGCTGCATAAAGTTTGCATGTTCTCCCAGTCCATGCATGGCTTCTTTCTAGGTACTCAAACTTCCTCCACCAGTCTAAACATAACCTGCCTCTCACCTATAGACTGTCGGAGATGGTCACCGGCACCACCGCGACCCTGATAGAATAAGCAGAAGAGGATGGATGGATGGATGGACGGATGGATGGATGGATGGATGGATGGATGGATGGATGGATGGATGGATGGATGGAATGAGCTCAATATCATGATGGCGATGGCCATGTGGTCATGTCAAAACTGCCACAGCAGGTCCTGTTTCTCTTTACCCGTTGTTATTTTTAATAGATTGTGATCTAATCATTGTGAATAGTTAATTAGATTATTAAAATCAAATGTAAGAGGTTAAAAATTATAAAAGGGAAGTTACCTTAAATGGCTTACTGCTGTAAGTTTCTGGCTTATTTCCTGTAGTTAGTTGGCAGCATTTGCTTGTTGCGAAAGCTGCAACTATTTACTCAAATTCATCAGCAGTCGGCTCTCCCTAGAGAAAGTTCCAGAATCTGTTTGAGGAATCACATTGATTGGAAGGCTCTACCTCACTATGTTTGAACAGTAACTGGAATAATCATTGGTCCCTACAGGAAGTCAGTGACCAGGCAGGTGGATTAAGAAGTCCTCTGATATAAACTAGAGAGATCTACTGGCTGATGGAGTATTAAATGCCCTGAAGTAAACCAGAATCCAGTGTAGCTGTATTGCTATAGGAGTCACCTGTGAAAACTTGGATTATTTTGTCTTAAGCAGCGTGTAAGCATCCTGAACAACTTTTACTCTGAACAAATGTTATAGGTAGGTTTTGTGGTGAAATGTGTATGGTGCATTGCAATAATACAACAGGATTAACGAAAAGAGAATTATTTTCGGGAATATACCTCATGGTATGGAAATATACCTCAGATAATGTAAAACCAAACATCCATCCATCCATTATCTTGTCCCAATTGGGGTTGCGAGGGGTGCTGTTGCCTATCTTCAGCAGTCAATGGGCGAGAGGCGGGGTCCACAGGTCGCCAGTCTATCGCAGGTAATAACAAACAATCAACTATAAAATGAATTTGTGCAGCTAATTAAGTCATAATGTATTCTGATGATCCTGATGTAGAATTTTACCAAAGTATCCGTGGGTCAGAGCTTTTCTTTATCCTTATATTGTTTCTCGAGCAAATGGGAATGTTTTAGTTACATACAAACTGCACTACTGGGAGCATTTAAGTTGACAGTTGAGGAAAAACTGTATGATTATCTTGGCAAGAAATCAGTAACACATTGGGCAGAATATACTCTGACTTCCTCTTTTATAGAAGAAGGAATTGTGACAATCTAGTCAAGACTGGGTTTTGAATACAGATGATAAATTGGTCTGCCGATTGAAGTAAACTCTATTTATCTTACGTTTATATTTCAATTGTCAGGACAAGTATATAACCTAGCAGCTTAGTTTTATTGAGCTGACAGTTTCTTTTAATGTTTCTAGACCAAAAAGGACAAAGAGAGACTGATGGCAGCTCTGTTTGAAAACATGATGGCAGTCAACATGTTACTGAGTGTCTTCATTCTTCCAGGTGAGATCTTTGTTTACTGCATTTCCTTTAGAGACGTCATCCTCTTTGATGTCTATAAATTATCCTCTCTGGTCTGAAATAATAGGTGATAACATTGTTTAAAAGCTCCTCATGTGACATGCTGCAGCTGAAATAGAGTTCATGAAGTTCCAGTAAAGGCAGATTCTGTTTAACATTGCTTCATTATTATTCTGTTTTACAGGTATTTATGCTTATAAATGTAACAGTGGACAGACAGCTTTTCTCTTCATTACAACACCAAAGCCTGCTGAAGCACTGAATGGATCTTGCTTGCATGTGCCATGTAGCTTCAGAGCTGAAAAAGGAAACAATGCATTTAACAATGAATTTAACAGTGAACGAAACACCTCTGGAGCATGGATTATACGTGATAAGCAAGTCTTCAACATGAGTCATGGAGTTCATAGCAATCGGATAAAAATAACTGGAGACCTGAGTAGGAAAAACTGCACCACTTTGTTCTTTGATATAAAGACAAGTCAAGCAGGTGAATACTACTTCAGAATAGAGAATGGAAACTACACGGCAACAGCTTGTTCTCAAGCTCTTCAGATAAAAGTCAAAGGTAAGAATTTTACGAATAATTATTTAATCTCTACACAACTCAACAAACTCTACAAATTTAGAGAAATACATTAGTTTCAAACATCTCTGTTTTTTATATTTTATGTATTGTATTACAATATTGGTATTTCTGATGGGTTAAGATTTAAATCCTAGTTTAAAACACTAATTTGAATTGGCTGTACAGTAAATGTAACCATGTAATGGTTAAATGGTAAATGGCATGTACTTATATACTGTAGCGCCTTTATTCAAGTTAGGAGACTTGACCAAAGCGCATTACACTACATTCATTCACCCATTCACGCACACACTCACACACTGCGATTAAATAAATATCTGTTATGTTTTAATTGGAACAGTTTCCCTTAATTAAAGCAACTATCTCTAGTTTGTTTCTGCTTCAGTAACAGCTTTGTTTATTAATCTGTTTGTTGAATTTTTTTCATTTGATTCACATTTTTAGCACCTTTGAAACAGTTACAAGAGATACATTTTTAACTGAAGGAATATACCTTGTAAAATGATCATCACTATGTTGTTCGATTACTCATAGACCTCAGTAAAGATTATAAAATGAACACTTGAAGGCAGAACACACATTCATTTTCAAATAATCTAAAATTGTAATCATACACTTTGGTTTCATGTTTGATTGCTGATGGAAAAAAATAATAATTTTAAAGTTAACTTTACATCTGATGTGAACTCCCAGATTCTCCTTGGAGTCCCAGCATTAATATCCCTGTTGGTGATCTGAAGGAGCATCAGTCTGTCACTATAAGCTGCTCAGCTGTGACTCCCTGTCCACACTCACCTCCTGAACTCACCTGGAATCTCCATCAAGACTCTGACAGACAAACAGAGAAAAACCCAGATGGAATCTTTACAACTAAAATCCAGGAGACCATCACTCTGTCAGACACACATGATGGATACAACATCAGCTGTTCTGCCAGATATCCTGTGAATGAAGGAAGCAAGACAGCAGAGACAGATGTGACTCTCAGTGTTTCATGTTAGTGATCCTGTCAGCACGTCATGGTTCAGCTGTTTCTGATCAATAAAGTTAATGTGTGTCCCATTTTCCTCAGATGCTCCTAAAGACACCTCAGCATCCATCAGTTCATCAGGTTTGGTGTCAGCAGGTAGCTGGGTGGAGCTGAGCTGCTCCAGCAGAGCCAAGCCTCCTGCCAGCTTCACCTGGTTCAGGAACAGCAAACATGGAGCCATTAATGTATCTGTGGGGCAGGTTTACAGCTTCACTGTTACTGAGGGAGGAGAATATCACTGTGAGGCTACAAATGATCTGGGGAATCAGAGATCATCAGTGCTCCTTCTTAATGTTGAAGGTAACTATTTAATAGTTTTCATAACTTTGAAGACATCATATTTTCATATTCTAAAAACCTTTCTTTTAACACTGTAATATATTTGATTCTCTTATTTTACTACTTTTATTGTTTTTATAAACTAAGTTTTTATAAACCAAAATATTATTTTCTAAAAACAGCAATTTCACAATGGATTCAACCTCCTGCAGTGATCTTTGCAGTGATATCTGTCATTGTGGTGATCTGCTTGGTGATCTCTTTTTGGTAAGCATTATAAACCAATGCTTTCTATTAATATTTATATGATAATGGATGACGTCTCAGATCAAGTGGTTTTGGAATGCATGAGGACACAGACCATTAAGATAATCCAAATTATTCTGCGGTCCTCACAAAATACTCTGTACATTTCTGCCTCATGCAAATTTTTATAGCTAGTTAAACAAAAAATATTCAACTCAATTCAAAAATACTATAATAATCCCCCAGGGAAATTAAATGTTAAAGTAATTCAGATGTTGTATCTTGTTTTTACCTGGTGATAATAGCTATACGTAGGAGGGATTTTCTATAGCAGTCTGTCTTGCGCTGGATCTGGAGAAGCCTCTTACTAAAAGACAATCTGTTATTGTTTAAAAATCTTCTGAAGAGGATGCTCACTGTTGTCCGTATTGTTCTTGACTTTATGTACAATTTTCCTTCTTGAAATAATCTCCAGAGCTTCTAGAGGAGTTCATGGAACAGAGCTGGCCTTCTTTAGTAGCTTGTTGAGCTTTTTAGGTCTTTTGCTCCTAAAACCATCCTCTGCTGTTACCCCAGCAGATGATGGCAAAAGTGATCACAGTCTTCACAACAGATTTATAGAAGATATGTAGCATCTTGTTGCAAAAACTGAAGAACCTAAGCTTCCTTTGAAAGTAAAGTCTGCTCCGTCCCTCGGCTTCACAGTTGTGCCTCCACTCTTGTTTGTTGTCTAGGTATTTATGCCCCTCCACTTCTTCACCTTCTCAACTTGAGAATACCCTCACTTGTTGTGTAACTGTTCTGCTGACTACTTGATTAGACAGTTGGCCCTTTAGTCTAATCAACAGTGGTCTGTTTGTCAGATAGTCTTTGATCCAGGTGATTTCTTAATCCCTGGACCTGAGTCTTCAGGAGTTTCTCACAAAGTAAGTCAGGCTGCATTGTGTTAAATGCTCTGGAGAAATCAAAGAACATGATGCTGCCATGTCTAAATGACAGGGGGTTTGTTGAAGCAGGTATATGATTGCTTCACCAACTCCACACGATAAACAAACTGCAGGGGGTCCGGATAGCTGCTTGTTTGCTTGCTGAGGAGAACCAACAGAAGTCTCTCAAGGACTGTCATGATGTGTGCAACAGATCTGTAGTCACTGAGGACTGTTGGCTGAGTCTTCTTTGGCACTGGAACAAAGAAAGGAGGTCTTCCACATCATTGGAACTGTCTCCTTGGTCAGGCAAAAGGCGAAGAGGTGCTGTAGAATCCCATAGAGCTCCTCTGCATAGGCCTTCAGGACTCTTGAGCTGTCACCATCAGGGCTTGGTGACTTACTACAATTCAGACTCTCCAGTTGCCTCTTCACATGACTTCTGGAGACAGGCAGGTGAAACGTGGAGGTGGCAGCATCATGTTATGGTTTGGATGATAACAAACTAATAGAAGCAGGAGAGAAGATGTTAGAGGAGGACAGGATTTCCACGTGACTGTGGGCATCGGGGTAGGATGCTGAACTTTTTCCTAAATTGAACCTGTTGAAGAATACAATTAGGTTGATTGGCTCTGCACCTGATCATCCTTCTGCTTGAAGCCTGTGATCTTTGTCATCCATAACCACGCATTTCTGATTTTGTTCTGCTGGATCTTGTTTTTCATTCTTTTCCTGTATGCAGCCTTGCTTTCTCTTTTCTAGACCCTAAAGGTATAGAGGATGATCCTTTATTTCCGGTTTGATCATCTAAATAAGTGGTCCTCCTAATTGTCAATCATTCTGGTGATAAGTTTACATAATGCCGTCCTACGTGCTCGCCCCCAGTTTGCTGGTGAAGATTCTCAATCATCCAGGTCATAGTCATTCCAAAAAAGTTAAAAAAAAAAAAAATCTACTGGACTTTGTTTCCAAGTTTGAAGATGTTTAGCTTCCCATCCAGGAATCTTTTTACAACTAAAAATGTCAGAAATAAGATTGAGTTTGAGGCTTCATGGAGTGGACCAAAAACAAAGTCTTGTTTTGGTTTAGAAAACATGCAAATTAAGCCGGGAGAAATGGGTCCGCCCCTTAAGAATGGGCATGTTGGGTTCTTTGTTAGCCTGCAATACCCTATACCTGTCTATGTCTCTGAAAGGGGGGTCATTGGAAGGAATTGCTGGCCTGGCTGAACAGGCGAGGTTGCTCAAATGTTCAGCCAGGCCAACAATTCCCTCTAACGACCCCCCCCCCCCTTTCAGAGACATTGACAGGTATAGGGTATTGCAGGCTAACAAATGACAAAGAGTATTTTATACAACTCCAGCCTGCCACATCATCACATCATTACATCATCCTCCTTTGCAGATGAGGAGAAATTCATGGCTCCAGCCTTATCAAAATATAACACTTTGTTCTTGGATCCAGTACACCGCTCTCATTCCATTCCAAAATCTTTGTTACGAACATAATGAAGATGTCTTTTTATCCTGACAGAGGAACTCTCCTAATTAGATAAACTACTTTGGAAAACATTAGTTCTTAGATGTTATTGGCAGGTATTAACAGATTATAAGAATAATCCAAACAATCCTAAAACACGACTGAAATATTCTGACACCTCTCTAATGTCTTCCAGGTGGATTAAATTTAAACATCCAACTCCACAACAGGTTCAGGTAGATAACTGCTCAACTTCTATCTGAGACATTACCATGAGCTTCATCCGTTGGTTTGTTGCTTTGTCTGCATGAACTTCATTTTCTTTTTTCCACAGAATCAAACCGGTGTGGGGGTTGAAATGGCAACCAATAATTCAGAGGAAGAAGTCCATCATGGAGGACTGAACTCCCTACCTGAAGCATCATCGCTCTAATTGCAGAAGAGTGGAGAGCTGGAGACAGAGGACGCTCAGGCCAAAGTCTGTGTTGGCAGACCATAGGACATCTATTCAAGTGAAGAAAAAATGAATTCTCTAAAGTTAATTGCTTAACTTCCCCATTCTCCATTTCATTTGTTTTTGCTGTATTTGTAAATTGATCACAGCCATGTTATGCCTTCTTCCACTATGACATTTACAGATTACAAAAGGATTTCTTTGGATGGCATTCTGTGCATTTCACACCATGATAGATGGTGCTTCCGGAAGCGCTTACGTTCTATGCTTTGACATTAAAGCATGCCTTAAAACCCAGAGTAGTTTAATAACAGCTTATGTCAGTAATATCAAGGTATTTTTTAGATCTTGTGTTGTAACTGCATTAGTTTTAATGTTAATAATGAGAACCTCTGATCAGATTCACCAGGTCCTAATGTATAAAGTGAGTCTTTGCACAAAAACATGTGGAAATCCACGCAAACTTTCGATCCTCCGTGAGAATTTGTGGCACACTTTTTAAATTTACAATATCACAGGTGCAATAAAGGAGCATCAAACCTGATGTTTTACTATAAGTTTAAGCTTTCATTAAATTCAACTTATGCAATGTTGCCAAATTACATTTCTTTTCATTCAACACCAAGGATTGAGAGGTAGGGAACAATCTCAATCAAACGTAAACTGTAAATGTTGTAGCATATTTGCTGGCAGGTAAGATAATCACAATAAAACCACTGTCTAGATGAAGTCTTATTTCTCCATTTTAAAACAAAAACAAAGAAATGCTTTTTCTTTATATGCAACAGTTGGAACATTCTTCCCATGGTGACAAGTTTAACAGTTTCACCTGCAACACAAATATCACTATTACCCAGTAGCCGTTGCAGCTACTCCAGTCTCGCACATCGTTACTTTCACACATCGTTATTCTGATCTGTTTAAGTTATGGAAGTCTGAATCTGTCTCTAAAAAAGGAGCGTAAAACCCACACTTATTCTCAGAAGGGGAGTTTAATTTTAACTGAAAGAAGGTGACTAATCAGCAAATTTCTCAACAAGTCAAGTGTGAGTCGGCAGGTCCTCCAAGCAGTGTAGGCTGCAGATAGTTATGGACATATTCAATTTTTTCCTTGTCAACCTGATTTATCAACACATCTGACTTGTTACAATTAATCTGCTTATTCACCATAATTTTTTAGTTGGAATGAAAGGGTCCCTTTGGAAATAAATTTGGGTTTATGCTCATCTGCTCACAGACCGATGTGCATTTCCATAACAGATAAAAACCTAGTTTGCATTCAATTTAGACTGTTTTCAACATCTCTGTTTTTTTGGTGTTGTATGAGAATAAATTTGATAAAGTTTCATCATTAAAGTTTAAATCATATCAAGTCCAACTAATGAAAACACATCAGGTTCCATCACTCCATTTTAAATGAACAGAACACTGTTATTTCATGTTATTGTGTTGCATTTAACTTTTCATTTTTGATTTAAAAAGTACGGTTTGGATGGATTGCTGCGCACTTTAATGCAAAGTTTATTTTTAAATATCCTGATTTTTTTGCATTAAACATTGCGCTGCATGTTTTTTGTGCACAGACACACTAAAAATCCCTTTAATGAATTTTTCTTAGGGATTAATAAATTATTGAGTTGACTTAAACATGAACCACTGGTCTTTGGATTGCCTCATGCAATGCTTTTACAAAAAGAAGCATCATGTTAGAGCTTTAAATACACCAAGGCCTTTGATTTAACTATCTGAACCTTATAAAGCTACATTTGTATTTGGATTTAACAATTTGCTTCAAGTTTATGTTAACTTCTGATATTGAAAAAAGCCTTTACAAATAATCTTGAATTCTTTTTGTAACAAAGGGAAATTATTTTAGTTAACTGAATTGACTTTAAATAGAAATTATTCTCATATACGCAAAGGGTACTCAAGATATGCGTTTTCTACAGAATAATTGTCACTTTTGCAGACTATAAAAACTGGATGTCAGATGATCCATTATGTTTTTTTAAAAGGCTGTTAGGTTCTGATGTTGCCCATGTAGCTTGACCAGTTGCTGACCAAATGTTGAAAAAGGTTTTTGCACAAATGATTGCAAACATTTTCTGTGGCATAATTTAAGTAATTTTGTTCTGCATGTATTTATTCACAATAGCTTTTTTTTTTTTTTTCAAACTTCAGGTGGCTATGAAACATTTTATGTCAGTTTGAATTTATTATGCTGCAAAAGGTAAAAATAAAAAAAAATATATTACTGGACATGAGACAAATGATATTTAATATACACAAAAAAGGGGATCAAGAAGCAAAAACAAAATTGTTACTGTAAAATAAGAAGGATTTCTATTAAGGACAGTTATCTCTCACACAGGAAGTCAGAGTCATAGTAACAAGTTCTACAATTAGTTTAGCTTAGAATAAATTAATTATGGAAAGTCATGCTTTGGATCTAAATTTAGATTTTCTTTCAACCTGAGCTTAATTGATCACCAAGTCTTACAGACATTGGTGGGGCTTCACAGGTTACAGAAATATCATCAATAAATCTGATCTATTCATCAACACTGACGTTTGGGCTCGCTTTCTGCCAGCACTAAATGGGATAGACCAGCAAAATGAATTCTTTAAAACAAAGTATTCTTAGAATTGAAAAGTGATTAGACAGAAAATTGTGCCAAGTCCTTCTTCTTTTCATTAAAGCGAATGCTGAGCTCTCCAACAGCCTTAGCGTGCTCCTCATCCACCTCTTCCTTCAACCTCTGCTGCTCCTTAAGAAACTCCGCCCAGTCTTCTTTTAGTTTGTCCATGTTTGCCTCCATCTGGGTGTTCTGGAACGACATGAAGATGCTCAAATTTGGTGTATATCCTGTCTTGTTTTAATAAAAGTGTACCAAATAAAATACAAAGTCAGACCGTCTCCCTAATATTATTATTACTACCTGCTGTGCCTCTACCTCCCTCTGCTGGACTCTCTTTGCCATGTGATTAGCAGCCTCCACTGAAGAGGAAAAAAACAGAACAAAATCAGCTCAATATCATGATGCTTATTGCCAAGTGGCCACAACAAGTCCTGTTTCTCTTTATCAAGAATTGTTTTAATGAACAGTAATTGCAAACAGCAGGGCTGTTAAAATAAAAATAAAATGTTGGAAGTCATAAATGATAAAAAGGGGAAGCCACTTACAGCGCTTACTGATGTCGGATAGCTTCTGGCTTATCTCCTCTAAATTAGTGGGCAACATTTGCTTGTTTGCTTCCTGCACCGTTTTGTTCAGGTTCTCCAGCAGCCGACTCTCCCTCAAGCCTCGTTTCTCCTGAAGAAAAGCAGAGAGAATAAAATGGAAAACTAAATATAATATATAAAGCATAAAAAAATGCTAAATCCTGGAAATAGATATTTATTTCAGCCGCATAATCAAGCACATTAAGCACTGTTTACACATTAAGCACATTGAAAACTTAAAAGAATCCATCGTTGTTACAATTTCGTTTTCTTTTGTTGGAAAACAATCACCGTTGATTCTCCTTAGAGCTCCATCTCTTATCTACAGGTCATTTATATAAATACTCTGGATGTTTCAAAGAATTTAAAATATTGGTAGTTCAAAGAATGATTTCTGTACTTTTAGGAAAGATACATGCACACAGAATCACAGATCATACATCGCATTAGGGCTGAAACAATGAGATTAATAGTTATTAATGGGTTATTGAAATAATATTCAACTTATCTAGTAATAATTATAAGTATAGAGTATAGAGATTGTAAAAACATGTCTTTAGCTGAAAGAACAATCCACTTAAATGAATAATTATATAAAAATTGTAAAAAAAAAATATGTAAACATTTTGCGTTTAAGATAAAAAAAAAAAAAAACATTTTTGTCTGTCAATATGTTCAGTTCAGAACTTCTTGAGTGGAAATCTTTTTTGTTTCACCTGGTTTAATTTAGAAAAAAAAAACTTCTTGAAGGAATCTTTAGTAATCTTATTATTAATCAATTAATCGAAAAAAACAACTGAAAGCTGAATCGATTTGCAAAAATAATCCTAAAGCTGCATCCCTACATCAAACCAAACAGATTTGTTCCATAACAAAGCTCTGCTTAATGTTTATTAGTGAAAAAAACTCACATTTTATTTACAGAAGCACATAGCTGCATTTAGGTCCCATTTAGATTTGAAAGAACGTATTGAAAAGTTAAGGCTCCTATATCAACTTTTATCGTGCATGCTGATTGCTGTATTAGGTGTGCATATTGGGTCATAATGTTACTTACCTCAAACTCTCTGACAAAGAAGCGGATTTCTGCACTGATAACAGGTCTGTGGTCCAACAGTCTGGACTGGATATCACCAACATCTACAGGATCAACAGAGCTTACATAAATACAGCTTTACAGAACGCATAATTAACGAAATAAACATTATCTTAACATCAGTAACTTACCTTTAGCAATCTTTTCCATCAATAGAAAATATCCAGAATGATGCTTTAGATGTAAAAACTCTCTTATCTGTCTCTAAGGCCTTTGCTAGCACAACAAACTGCTAATGTAGCTGCTATGCTAATATGAGGATCAAAAGTAAAGTGAAAAGACAGCTACTAGGCGCAGATTAAAAGTAATTCATTGAAACAACCGATGTATCGTAATATGCAGCTGCAGTAATCTATTACAAGATGTGAGGGTCTGTAAGTCTTATGTGCTACAGTCAGGTGGAGGGGAGTCAGCTGATTGTAAACAGTCACACTACTTCCGGGTTATGGACGGAACCAATATGTTGAATATGGGGGGGGGGTCGCTTTTTCCTGTCCTTTCTTTTGTGGCTTAATATTTTTTATCGGTCTTCTTATATAAATATATATATATATTCAATACTTTGAGTTGCACGTAAATTCTATATGATTGCTTTTTTCTTTTTATTTTTTACATGCGCAGAAGTGTGTTTGATGTCAGTTGCCAAAGACAGACGCTAGATGTCAGTGTTGCTCCGCAACTGAGTAAAACGACATGAGTCGTATGTTTACAAACTTAATAAAAAAATACAATACTAAAACCAGAATTGTGTAACTAGCTGATTTAATCTATTTAGGTCAATCCTAAGTAATTCATCATCTAAATTTCAATATTTGCTACCGTTGTTAAACAGTTTTACAATGTTGGTTATCCAGGCTTTTTGACACAAATATAAATACACTGTCCACATAGTGTGGTGGACCAGAAATGTCATACATGCTGTATTTGCTTTTGCAACTACACACTGCAACAACATGCATCAACTGCATTTTACCCCATCTCTTAGTGAGCAACGAGCAGCTTGTAAAGGTATTTCCCAGGCACCCAGAGTAACCGTCTGGGTTACTTTATTAGTAAAAAAAATATATATATATATTAAATTCAATTTATTTATATAGCAGAAAATTCACAACACATGTCATCTCAAGGACTTTACAGTTCAACCAGATCATACAGTCAAATTGATTCAAAGTTTTCTATCCTTCTTTTAACAGGAAGAAACCTCCAGCAGAATCAGGCTTAGTGTGAGCGGCCATCTGCCGAGTCTGACTGGGGTTCAAGGAGACAGAAGCAGACATACAGAAAGAAGCAAAGATACAAAAAGCAACTGTCAACCAGCTCCACAGGCGGCCACATCCAGGGAACACACAGCCAGGCAGACGAGGCTCAACCCAGCCCCCTTGTCAGAGGATGAAGAGAGCATTTAGTGATCCCATTTATGAGAAATAAACATTTCTCCATAATGAAAAGACAATCCTGCCAAGAGGTCATAAGGAGGAACACTGAAAGACACTATACCCATAATGAAACATCAGGGCAGAATTATGCTCTGAGATCACTGTTGAAACAAGGATCGGGTTAAGGTGTCCTAAATAAATCGCTCCAGGTATCAGTGAGATTTATTGAATGTTAGGGTGAGAGACTAAGTGGGATCATTTCTTTCAGTGTCACTGTGTATTTCTAGCAAATATACAGATAAACAAAAATATTGAACACTCCAGAAATAATTTATTTTAAAGAACTTTTTCAGAGCCTAGATGTAAATTTGATTTAATGCAATTTAGATTGGGTAAATACTAGAACAATCAAGATGTTGTGATCAGACACACTCCAACCATATAATGAATAATGAATTTAATTAAATAAGTGGTTAAACAAAGTTCTAGTTTTTAGGGAGTTTCAAATCCTGAAGCCTGACTATAGCATTTTTTCCATTTCCTAATAGATCTGCTTGCTTTTCAGGGAATTATTCAGGATTAATAGAAAATGTTTAAAAAAAACCAGAAAGAGAATATATTTTCAGTGTGGTTTAATTTTTTAAATCTTGTCAACGTTGCATTTAGTGTACTCTTTCATTTTAACTTTGTATTAAACACTTTCACTGTAAGGTTATTTTAATGTGTGTGAGTGTTTTCATGGCTGACAGTAGAGGTCAGTGTTACTCTTTACTTAAAAATAGTCTGAGTAGTTTTTATTTTATAAAGACATGCTGTCACATTACTTCCCTGCTGAAATGCAGTATTACAACAGGAAGTATTCAACATTATTCAGTTATTAGTTTTTAATGAGCCCTTAATTTTGCTCTAAGGGATAAATAGCAGAAATGTTCTATAACTGTAAACTGTTATTCTCTATGACTAGTTGGCATTCAATGTTTATTAATTAAGGGTAAACTGCTATGAAGCAAGATAAGGGTTCTTTGAATATGGATTATAAGAAAAATATTTACAGACTATATGAACTAATCATTTTTAAATCAACAGACATTGATGGTATGAAAATTGAGGGAAACCCATCCACCCAACACTTTTATGACAACAATGCTGTTTTGAAATAGCTTTTTATATATTTTAGGAACAATATTCAGATAGTATGTTTTAAGGATTTTGGTTTTTGTTAATTTGGTCAATTCTACCTTTATTTCTTTTTCTGTTATTGTAAAAAAAAATGTTTCTCTAACAATAATTCTTGTATGCCTTCAAATCTGTTTCTGCATTTTTCCTTTACTGTTATTTATACTGATATCATATACCACTTTAATCAATTCAAAACACTCAAGATAACATGTCTACGTAATTAATTAGTATAAATAAGGTTGATATTTAATTTGGGGAACAACTTTACGATTACAGCTAAATCTGTAAAATTGGCTTGATTTTATTCCCCACAAGATGGCGCTAAATCCAGCTGTTTAAAAAAAAACTAGTGGTGTAAAAAAAACCTGGTTGCTTTATCTTGGCTTAGCAAACACTTTTACTGTGCTTTATGACTTGCAAATATATTGGAATAAATGTATTTCTAAGCAGATCACTCTGAGCGTGAACAAACTCATTCAGTCATATTAAGAAAAGGCCTAGTTGGAGGCAATGTTGCATATTTGTTGTCAAAAGTTAGTTTGTAAGCTCCAAAATTATTTGAACTGTCATGCTCAGTTAGGAGAAAATCATTAAGATTCCACTTAAGTTTCCCTCTTTACTGTCCACATTTGCTAGTTAAACACTTATTACATGCACCATTAGATTTGATGGGGGCCTATTAAAGAGATTATGTGATTGATCAGTAGCCGAAGGACAAAGGCAAGGAACTTCGCTGCAGCCTCAGGTTTGTGTGAAAAGCTTGAGAAGATTTCTGACAAGAAAACATGTCAGAACCAGCAGAGGCCCTACTGACAGGAATGTGCATCAATCTCTGATTTAGTTTATTCACGAACCTGTAGGGCAATATTAAAACATTAAGCTAACACCTTAAAGTTTTAGTGGGGCATGTTGAACACAGCATTGATTATCTTTAGCCACAGATTTAACACAAGATTGGAGGTAGTGCCCTGTTTTCCCCTATCTATCTATCTCTCTATCTATCTATCTATCTATCTATCTATCTATCTATCTATCTATCTATCTATCTATCTATCTATCTATCTATCTATCTATCTATCTATCTATCTATCTATCTATCTATCTATCTATCTATCTATCTATCTATCTATCTATCTATCTATCTATCTATCTATCTATCTATCTATCTATCTATCTATCTATCTATCTATCTATCTATCTATCTATCTATCTATCTATCTATCTATCTATCTATCTATCTATCTATCTATCTATCTATCTATCTATCTATCTGATAATATTAATTTAGATGTTGAATATGGCCCCAAATATATTAATGAGACTTCATCCTGTTTATTAAAGATCCAGACAGAAATCATCTACAGAAATTAAGCTGTAACCTCAAACACGACCATTCTTGTCCATATTTAACCTTATAGAGGTGTGCTGCTTCGCCAGAGTATCTTTTTTTTTTTTTTACTGGTTTAGTTAATTGCACCAGTTAACCCCTCTTTGTTTCCTGTTGGCTCTTCTAAGTGTGAATTTGTGTTAAACATAATCAACAATTATTTGACTCACTGCCTTAACCCAATTGTTGTAATAAAATTATCTTGTGAATTTATCTATGAGGCTGTGACATCACAGTCAGTGAAACACGCAACACTGCCTGGATGTATAATCATATGATTTCCCTTCTTTTAGCTGCAGTTGCTACATTTACATTCATGAGGTGCTTTGCATGGACCAGATGTTTACTAGTCCATGCAAGACGTTTACTGTTCAATAGCTACATTTTATTGTTCCATAGACAATTATGAAATAATAGGATACGAAATAACTATAGGAGCAATTCTCAATAAGGGACTGAATATTTGATGAAATATCAACCAAATCTCACCATGCTTTTCTGTCTCTCGCCTAATACATCCTAACAACATGGTGCTCCTACCATGGGACCCCTCTCTGGTTGGCTGGCTGTGTGGCCCCCTTAGTTCCTGAGCATCCCGGGGCTTCGTGCTTGGTGTGGTGGGAGGGTGTGAGATGGGGTTAATGGGCGACCGTGGCTCCTGTCTTCCTTGTGTCATCCTCATATCTTGGCCGGGTGAGTCTGTCAGCTCCCACACCCTCTATTAAACATTCTTACGGAGAAACCTTGTGACCATAAACACACTCATTCAGTTTCAGGTGTTTGCCAGACACACTCTCAGTTGGTTTGCAGTTTTCACTAAACACTGCTGGTAGTGCCTTTTATGATGTACTTTACATTTATTTTATAATTGTTATTATTATATATTCATAAGTGTAATTGTTGTTTCTCATTTGTTTTCTCTTTTCCTTTGTGTTATCTCTATGCTTCTTTTTCTCCTGTACTTCTGTCACTTCCTTTTACTTTAAACCTCTTTTCAGTCTTTCACTCTTTCCTTTTACCTTTTTTGTTGTGTTTATTACATTTGATATAAACCCTAAGCACTTTCTAATAAAGTTATATACGTATATACATTTTATAATATAAAATAACAATAATAAAAGAGAAATTTATGACTATTATTTTTTAATTGTTTAGTTAATTCAAATTGTTAAGCTTTTAATTGACATTCAAGTCTATATAAGACCAAAACTAGCTGCGCTTTGCCCCACACGCTCTACAGTATCCACATGACCTCCTGCAGCTCTCCCACCAACGGTGCTTCAGTAGTGCAGCAG